AGCAGGCCCCAGGCTCTGAGCATAGAACCCAAGGCAGGGCCTGAACCCACAGACTGTGAGCTCATGCCCTAAGGTGAAGTTGGATGCTTAACTCACCCAGGCACCCCCATGATGTAATAATTTATACATGCCCCATGTGACACCAAGACCAAACAGAAAGTCACATACAAATTTAATTTCTTATGTTTGGTTGGATTCTTCCTGTCCAAGGGAGAAAGTTTGCAGAGTAAGAAATAACCAAATTTGCCTTTCCAAAGATGTTGTCGCTTTGCAAATGAAGGAAACATAATATCCTTCACAGAACCAGGCCTGAAAAAGAAAAAATAATGTTGTCCTATAGAACTGTATTAAAAGCCATAAAGAGATTGACACTGTGCTCCTCTGAGAGGTAAAAGGAGGGTCCCTGTTCCTGTCAGGCAGTGCCCTGGAGGCCCTGCAATGGGTGTCATCTTATCTAGGACAGGTAGTGAGGGACCCTGGCAATTTTAATGGGAGTGGAGTCATGTTAGATTTGTTAAAGCAGTCCATTGCCACAAAAGCAGTGGAGAGACAGGCAACCTGATTCATGGCTGGTAGGAAAGAATATCAGCCTCTAAGATCCACAGTCCAGTGATTTGTCTACTTCTATAAAATTACAGTCACATTTAAGCTTTGACCCAGCAATCTCACTTCTAGGAATTTGCCCCACAGATATGAGTGCAAAAGTGCAAAACAACACAACATACTTATTAACTGCAGAATTGATTATAATAATAAGAGGTTGGAAACAACATCAATGTCCATCAGCAGGTGATTTGTTAAATAAACTGTGATTTGTCTACAGGGGAATATGATGCAGCTGCAAAAAAAGAAAAAAAAGATTTAGAAAATATACTATGTATTGAGATGGAAAGATCTCCAAATATAAAAGTTGTAGTTATCTTTTTGTATAAAATAGAGGAAAATAGAAAAGTATTTGTATCAAAAAATATGTAACTGTGGAAGAATATATACACAGGTACAAAAGTTGTTACCTAAGGAGAGAAGATGACAGACAGTTTTCACTGAATTCTTTTATATATGGTTCAATTTTTTAACCAGTGTGTAGCCTACTCAAAAGATATTTAAAAACTTATTTGTGTAATTCTATGGAGAATGGTATGGTGATTCTTCAAAAATATTAAACATAGAAATACCATAAGTTATAATACTGGAGCTAAAATTAAAAAGAAAAAAAGAAATACCGTATGATAAGCAATTCCACTTGTAGGTATATCCCCAACAAAAGTGGAAACAGGAACTCAGATATTTGCACACCCATGCTAATAGCTGCATTATTCAGAATAGCCAAAAAGTGGAAGGAATGTAACCAACTGTTTATAGACTGATGAATAGTTAATAATAATGCAGCATATGATGGAAAGAAAGAAATTTTGACACACATGAATGAAACTTGAAGGCACTGAGCTAAGTGAAATAAGCCAGTCACAAAAGAACAAATATATGTATTAGGTCCTTAGAGTAGTCATAGAGATGGTGGAATGGTGGTTGCCAAGGGCTGGAGAAAGGAGAGAATGGAGACGGTAGTTCCTGGGTAGAGTTGCAGTTAGAAAAGATGAAAAAGTTCTGGAGGTAGATGGCGGTGATGGTTGCACAACAGTGTGAATGTGTGTAAAGCTCCAGAACTGTACATGTAAAAATTATTGAAATGGTAAAGTTTATTTTGCATACTTTAACAATTTTTAAAACTACTAATTTACATATACTTATATAAAATTCACTTTGCTAGCAGTAAAGGATAAATCAATCCATGAACAAAGGTGTAGCTAGAAAAAAAGGCCCAGTGACTACTGCACACAGGAAATTTCCAGAACGAGGTGTGTTTTTTTGTGTGTGTTTTTTTGTTTTTTGTTTTTGTTTTTTTTGTCTCAGAGAGATCGAGGTAGTGAATCAATTTTTAATTGAAGTACAAAAAAAAAAAAATCGAAACACACGCCCAACGTGGGGCTCGAACCCACGACCCTGAGATTAAGAGTCTCATGCTCTACCGACTGAGCTAGCCGGGCACCCGTTAATGACTTTTCAATAATTCTTACTTCAAAGTAATATTCTGACTATCTGTGGTTCCAAATTTAAAGGTTGGGTTAGTTGCAATCTGATCGGGCGGCTTGGCAGCCCGCTGAACTCAAACTCTGCAGATCGTGCCTGACTGCCCTCCTGCCTAGGTCTGTTTTCTTCTGTCAGCGACCTAAACTTTTTCCATTCCCGGAAAACGCAGGACGCGAAGGACGGAATAAGCGATCATACTGTGGTACGGACGGGCTCTCCCTGTGATATTTTAATCACGAGTTCAGAGGTAGTATCTGGGAATTCGAGTCCGTGGGTCCCGCTGCCTCTTCATCTAACCTGAACAAACTCCAAGATAGGAAGTTTATTTCCCAGGATTTGCAAACACGCCAGGCTTCAAAACTTGGTGGAAAAACGTAATCGCAGGCCTGCGCTGGAGATGCCGGGGATCGAACCCGGGGCCTCATACATGCAAAGCATGCGCTCTACCACTGAGCTACATCCCCACCTTTCCGGGGAAGTCTCTACATGCTCCCTTGGCTGTGTAATAGCACGGAGAGCGGCTGCACGTACGGCCGAAGGAGCTAACTCAGATATTGCAAAACTGGTCCTGTAGCGCTTGGAGCTGTATTTCAGAGTCTTCTACTGACTCTAGGCAAGTGGATCTCCAAGGAGGGGACGTTCGTTGGAAGAACAGGGCTGGAATAAATACCTGAAGGCAGGGGGAAGTCATTGGGCACAATGCCCAAAATGAATTGTGATCCGAAAAAGTGAAGTAAGGAAGACCGTACGCAGACTGCTAAGTTTGTTAAACAAAAAGAAAGGGAGTGTAGTAAAATACATAATATTTGTATAAAATAGCATTCAGAATTGCAAAGTTGATCGCTTGGAATGGGGAACAGACTGGAGCGTAGTCCGTGGACACACTTTTCGCTGTGTACTGCTCTGTATATCTGAATTTTGAACCACGTTTAAGTCAGTTCATTCCAAGAAAACTTTACCGATCCCTTACTATGTGCCAAGAACTGCTCTAGATATCTGGGGGTCCAGCCGGGAACAAAAATGACACAGTCATCCCCTCTAACAGCTCAAATTCCAGAGGAAAGAGGTAGAGTGTTAGAAAATAGAGCAAGCGTTGAAGATTAGAGTGCGGTAAGGCGCGATTTTAAACAGTGTGGTCGGGGCAGGCTTGGCTGAGAGGTTATTTGAAACAAAGCTTGAAGGAGGTGGGAAGTAAGCCATGCAAGTATAGGAAAAGAGAAGTCAAAGTAATGGTAAAAGCCAGTTCAAAGGCCCTGAGATAGGATCTTGCTGGCACGTTGCAGGAATAGCAAGGAGGTCCATGTGGAAAAAGAGAAGGCAACAGGGGAGAGTGATAGGAGATGCCATAGAGAGGCTGGGTGCAGGGTATGGGGTCAAAGAATGGATAGGGCCTTTAGACGACTGTAAAGACTTGGACTTTTACTTTGAGAAGTGGGAGCCAATGGAGGGTTTGAGCAGAGGAGAACTTAATATTGATCTGACTTAACATTTTAACAGGACTGTTCTCATGGCTGGGTGAAGACAAGGTATAACAGCGTGACAGAAAGGGAGAGAATTGTTGTGATCATCAGATCATTGGAAATGGTGCAGTGGAGGACATGAGAGAGTGAGGACACACTGAGGACTGAGGGTGGAGTGTGCAATGTTTTCCTATTGGGAGTCAGAGAGGACTCCCCAGTTTGGCCTTAGCACTTGAAGGGATGGAGCCACTATTAAATGGGGTGGGGTGGGGAAGACTGTGGAAGGAACAACTGGAGAAGCAAATTAGAAGTACAGTTGTGGATACAGTGAATGTGGAGTGATATCCCTTAAAATACGTTCCCAGGAGTTGCATGTGGGAGCTAGGCATCCTAAGGGAACCTGGGTAGGGATGTGTACTGTGGCATCCACAAGGAGAGGGTATTTCAAACCAAGAAAATGGAAGAGATCAGAAGTGAGGATACACAGAGGTCTAAGGGCTGAGCAAGTGCAGGGAGAGGAGGAGGAGACTAGACAGAGACCAAGAAAAGGGCAGGAGGCCACGGATGTGGGTGGTGAACCAGAGAGTACAGTATACTAGAAGGCGATAGGAAAGAGTGTCACCAAGGAGGAAGCATCAGAGAAGAGGGCAGGTGAGGCGAAGCCTGAGAAGTAGCCTATGCCTTTAGGTTAGGATGGCTGAGGTCACTGGTGACCTTGACAACAGCGGTTTCTGAGGAGAGTGGTGGCTAAAGCCTGCCCTGAGTGGCCTCCAGAGGGAATGAGGAAAGGGGGTGGAAGCAAATACTCCAGGCAGTTCTGGAGGAACAGTAGAAGGTTGGGTGATTTGGGAGGGAGATTAAACTGGGAAAATTCATTGTAAATGCATTATTTATTCGAAGCCAAAAATTAAATAAAGAATAAACGAAAGGGAGAACACCAGTGAGAAATGGACACTATGCCAGGCTTGGTGGTGGGGACAAGAGCCAGGTTCCAGACACTAAATTTAGCTCAGCACAGGACCAGGACAAACCTGCTCTCCGGGAACTTGACACTGTAGCCTGGGCGCTAGGCCCATGGGCCGGGCGTGCTGGGTCAGTCTTAGGCGGCAACTAGGCGTGGAGCCCGGCTTGGGTGTGTGCTCCCACCTGTCCAGGCCCGTTTCCCTCGGCTGACTGGGCCAGGCTGGGGGTGGTCTAGAGTAGACAGGCCTGCTGCGGGGCTGAGGAGGGCAGGGGAAGAGGGCGACTGACAGAGGGCGCCCGGGGACCGAGGAGGCCGCAGACCAAATCCAGTGATTAAGCGGCCCAGAGCCGAGGCGCTCGGCGCTAGCAGGCACTTGGATCCGATTTAGCAGTGAGGTCTGGCCCGCCCACAACTCTCTCATTTCCCTCTCCCTTCCCTGCCCAGCCAGGCCTTAGCTCAAGTCTCAGCTAGCCGGGCGTCAGCCCCGCCCTTCTTCTACCAGTGGGTGCTCGGAGGCCCAGTCGGGCCTCCCCACTCCGAGCCACATACTGTCAGGTCCCTCGGCTCTTCAAGCACCGCCAGACTTTGTGCGCTAAGGGCGCGCATGGCTGCGGTGGGACCGCGAACTGGCGCTGGCTCCGGGGCCGAGGCGTTGGCGCTGGCGGCAGAGCTGCAGGGCGAGGCCACATGCTCTATCTGCCTGGAGCTCTTCCGCGAGCCCGTGTCCGTTGAGTGCGGTCACAGCTTCTGCCGCGCCTGTATCGCCCGCTGCTGGGAGCGTCCCAGCACAGGAACCACGGCGGTACCGCGCGCGCTGCCTTGTCCGCTGCCCTGCCCACAGTGCAGAGAACCCGTGCGTCCCGGCCAGCTGCGGCCCAACAGGCAGCTGGCCTCAGTGGCCACACTGCTGCGGCGCTTCAGCCTGCCTGCGGCCGCGCCAGGAGAACACTGGCCCCCGGAGGCGGCGGTGGCCGGGTGCGTACAGCATGGCGAACCGCTCAAGCTCTACTGCCAGGACGACGGACGAGCCATTTGCGTGGTGTGCGACCGCGCCCGCGAACACCGAGCGCACGCAGTGTTGCCGCTAGACGAGGCTGTGCAGGAAGCTAAGGTGAGGGCCGGTCCCACCCATGCAGATTCCCAGGACCCCAGTTCGGGTCCTGTCTTCCCGCGCAGGCAGGCAGGATGCCCAGGTGAGACAGACCCTACTTTCTTACTGTTCCACTGGCTCTGGGACTGATTCCAGCACTCGTTGTGTCACCCACACACCACCAGGACCATCCTCCCACCCACCTCGAGCTTCCCTCTGGGCTCCCTACTGGATTGCCTTATTAATGTCCCCAGACTTCGCGATTTTCTTTTTGCTTCTAGCGGTGTCTCCGTCACACCACATTTCCTCTGCGCCCACTCTCAGCCCTTTCCCTGGGCGTGGCTCTGTGCAACGTCCCCACGTCCTGGGGCCAAACGGGACGACCTTCCCAAAAGGTTGAGGTAAGGCAGTGGGTGACTCCTGGGTGGAACAGAGCACCAAAAGCTGTCTTCAGCTCTGTCAAAAGATATGGGTTTGGGACACCTCTCTTTCCTGCTTCCTTACTTGTGTGTGCACGGAGGCTTCAGACACACTACCCCCAGTTTTTCTTTACTCCTTAATCCTCCCCAGCACTCCCTCCCAGACGTCCTTCTGATGGTGATTAGGAAATTAGAGGACAAAACTAGGCAGTTTGGGCTGCTAAAGGGTCTGCATTTCTGCCTGGATTGTGCACAGAGATGGTCTTGGGGGAATGAGACCTTGAAGCCTTTGGAGTCACCCTTCAATTGCTCTGTACTCCTATGTGTGTCTGTGCAGGCTATAAGCCATCCCGGTATCCAGATAGGCCTTCAACCCTGCCTCCTCCTCTTCAATGAAGATGGCCTTCTCGTTCTCCTAGATGGCTCCCGGAAGGCATATGTAGGGGTTTCCAGAGTCCTCTTCTCACCCTCCTGCAGGAACTCCTGGAGTCCAGGCTGAAGGTCTTGAGGAAGGATCTGGAAGACTATGAGGTGTTTCGTTCCACTGAAGAGAAGGAGAGCAAGGAGCTCCTGGTGAGCAAGGCACTTTCCAGGTGGGCCCGTTCTGGGTGACAACAGAGGACCCCACCATCCTGGAACTGTGCGTGCAGTCTTTAAAAAGAAGTAAAGTGAAGAGTGAAAATTGGAGGCGTGACAAATGTTAAAGGACAAAATTCGAGTAAAATTTGCAGTTCTTATTGGCTTTATTCAATGATTCATGAATCGGGCAACATTCCATCTAGCAGACAGAAAAAGAGCTCTGAAAAGCTATGCAAGGCAAGAGATTTTATAGGCAGTTAGGGAGCAGGAACAAGGAAGTTATACTGGGCCAAAAAGCAGATTGATAATTGGAAGATTACTTTCCCTGTTTATCAGGCAGTTTCCCAACTAATGCTGATCAGGTGACTCCTGATTGGCTGGTTTAAGTTTCTATTTCTGGGAGAACTGAAACTGTAATTAAGTCTCTGTTTCCTGATGGGGAACTTAGTGTGAGTGACTCCATTTTGGGCCTGTTTGTTTTTTAACTCAAAATAAATGCATTCAGGGGTGGGAGGGAGTGACCTCAGTTTAATTCCTGCAGTGGCTCTGGGAGGCACTAATTTATTTTTTAATAAAAGTACTTTTCCAATGAGGAAACTGCGTCCAGGGTGGTTCTGGGCCAAGTATAAGTTGCCCTAGATTGATGGGAGAGCACATCTGTGACAGGGGATGAAAGAGCATGTGTTGAAGCTGCTCTGTGCTCAGAGGCGGGATATTTAAATTACAGGATGTGCTTGGTTGGGTATGTGTAGGTGGGCCTCTGACACCTGACCAAGTGAGGGGGTTGGAACTCTGTCCTGTAGGATGGCTCAGAGTCTACTGTCCAAATGCCACATCTTGATGCCCGTGTCCCATTGTCTCTCCAACTTTCTCTCCTGAGACAGAAGCAGATGGCAGCTGAGCGAGAGAAGGTGGGTGCAGAGTTCCAGGCACTGCGGGCCTTCCTGGTGGAACAGGAGGGCCGACTTCTGGGCCGCCTGGAGGAGCTGTCACGGGAGGTGACACAGAAGCAGAATGAGAACATAGCTCAGCTCGAGGGTGAAATCACCCAGCTCTCCAAGCTCAGCAGCCAGATTCAGGAGACATCTCGAAAGCCTGATCTAGACTTTCTCCAGGTGAGTCTGGCTTGGCCAGAGATATGGATCATTTATCCTAAGACATCATAAACAGCAAGTGAGAACAGAGTTAGATCCTGTGGGTTTAGTAGAATCACATACTTGAGCAGAAGGAGACTGGAGACAACTGCCCTGATTCTTCTGGGGTTAAAGGTCTAAAATGATGTGATAAAGCTTTCTTGATCTTGAGTCACAATAAAGATCTTACTGGCTTTACTCAATGATTCATGTATTGAGCAGCATCCAATATAGCAGACAGAAAGGAGTCCCAAAGAGCTATATGCAAGTCTTACATCATATTCCAGTATATAAAGTTTGTGACAAAAGTCTCAGAAAAATAAAACTTTAGTACATGGGATGCACTTTGACATTTTCTATTCTACTTCCTTTTAAAAGAAATAGTCACACTTTCTCCCTCTCTCTGTCCTTCCCCCACTCATTCTCTCTCTCTCTCTCAATAATACTTATTAATATTACTAATAAATTATTGATAAAATTTAAAAAGGGACGCTGAGTGGCTCAGCTGGTTAAGCGTCAGACTCTTGATTTCAGCTCAGGTCATGATCTCATGGTTTGTGGGATTGAGTCTGGTGTGGAACACTGCACTGACAGCAAGGATCTTGCTTGGGATTCTCTTTTTCCCTCCCTCCCTCTCTGTCCTTCCCCCACTTACTCATGCACTCTCTCAAAATAAATAAATAAACTTAAAAAAATAAAATAGTCACAATCCACATATGGGTCAAGATAGGCATTTGAAAGATGCTGGTATGGGTAACCAGTCATTACATAAGAGCAGTGACTTATCTGGGGTGGTGTAGAGAGGGGAGACAACACTGGATCCCAGCACAAGGCTCCAGTGATGACTCTGTAATGAAGGGAGCATTTGCAAAGCTGTGGGCAGGGAGTTGATAAGACACCCAGAAACCAGCCACAGCAGGAAGCCATTGCCACCTGGGCCCGTAAAGGTGGTAGGGAAAAAGCACCTTATTGCTTTTTCCTCTGAGAGTACGTAGATCCCTGGGTACCTGGGCGACTTGGTTGGCTAAGCCTCTGGCTCTTGATCTCAGATCAGGTCTTTTTTTTTTTTTAATTTTTTTTAATGTTTTATTTATTTCTAGGAGAGAGAGAGACAGCTTGAGCAGGGGAGGGTCAGAGAGAGAGGGAGTCACAGACTCTGAAACAGGCTCCAGGCTCTGAGCTGGCAGTCAGCACAGAGCCCGACGCGGGGCCCGAACCCACAAGCCACAAGATCATGACCTAAGCGAAAGTCGGACGCTCAACCGACTAAGCCACCCAGATGCCCCAAGATCAGGTCTTGATCTCACATCAGGTCTTGATCTCAGGGTTGTGAGTTCAAGCCCCACTTTGGGCTCCAAGCTGCTTGTGGAGCCTACTAAAAATAAAAATTAAAATAAAAAAAAAAGTTGCATATTCCTCTGGAAGCAGGGCAATGGGTCACTTTATTTTCTCAAAATTAACTGGAGGTTACCTGGTGCTGATTTGGCTTTCTTTCATCTTTCTTAACAGGAATTCAAAAACACACTAAGCAGGTGAGTGGACCTAAGAGTTCCTTAGGTCTTTCCAAGCTGGTTCTTCTCCTTTTCCACCGAGCTCTCTCTCTTCATCCCCTTACCCCTGACCTCTCACTCTTAACTCCCACACTGCCTTACCTATGTACCTTCTAAAGCAAAAGTCCACCAGCCTGGCTATGGATATTCTGTTGCAAGATCAGCCTCTTTTTTTCTTAGCTCTCCCCACCAAGAGGACCTTGCCATCCTAATTGTCACAGCCTGGTGGGAGTGGGACAGTGTTTGTGGGCCTTCCTCAGGGTCTTTGTCCTGTAGATGCAGCAATGTGCCTGGCCCCAAGCCAACCACAGTCTCTTCTGAGATGAAGAATAAAGTCTGGAATGTTTCCCTCAAGACCTTTGTCTTAAAGGGGCTGCTCAAGAAGTTCAAAGGTAGGGGACTGTGCTTGGGGCTGGGCCATGCAGTGCTGGTGGCCATGGTGTGTTTCTGATAGTTTGGGGGCCCAGGAATATGTCTTTCCAGAAGGTTTGTTAGAAAATAGGAGGTAGGCACTTGTGGGGATGAGCACTGGGTGTTATATGGAAACCAGCTTGACAACAAACTATTTGTAAAAAAAAAAAAAAAAAAAAAAAAAAAAAAAAAAAAAAAAAAAAAAAAAAAAAAAAAAAGAAAAGAAAAGAAAATAGGAGGTAGGGTGTGTCAAGGCCAGATTGGTGCAGGGAGATGGTGGTGGCAAATCCATTCAGCAGCCCTTGCCCCCCAGAGGACAAAGATTTCCCCCAGGGATAATCAGGGTAGAGGACTACTGGAGAAAAGAGAGGGATGAGGAGGAAGAGCTCAGCTCAGACTAGCTCAGGCAAACGAGAGGGAAGTGGAAAAGGTAGACCTAGGATACTCTCCCTTCCTGACCTCTCACACTTGATGCAGTGTCTGAACATCAATTCTCAGCCTTTGGAGTATCTGGGGAGTGAGTGAGCCAGTCGAGCTATAAATGTCAGAGGAGATGGTATTCATCGTCATTGCCAGATAGACAATGTCCTAAATCATTTATGAATACCCTGCTTTGTTTCTCCTCCTCAGAGGATCTTCGGGGAGAGCTAGAGAAAGAAGAGAAAGGTAAGATGGTTCTTGTGATAGTGAGTTCACATTATTTGGCCATGTAGAGAATCTACCCCCGCCCATGACTATTTCTCTGGGTTTTGTGCATGACTGGTTCCTTCTACCTACCTGCCTCTGCCCTCCCCTCATCCTTGCCTCCCAGTTCTGGCTCCCTCAGGTCTCAGTGGGACGTGTAGGCCTATAAGTTGTGGGCCAGACACCTGGATGCACCTCTCTCCCCATCCCTCCACTATAGACGGACAGAGATCTCTCCTGGGGAGAGGCCTTGTGTACAGGGGTCAGGCAAAGCAAAAGGAGATTGAAGACAGGAAGGGAGGAGGCTCTTACTACTCCAGAGGTCTGGGGTGAGTGGGATCCAACCCTGCAGGAGGGCAGACGAGGGCACATATTCCTGATGATGATGACTGGCCAAGCTATGTCAGAATTTACCTTGGAAGAATCTAAACCAAGTTAGATCATGACCCTCCTCTGCACAGAACCCTAGGACAGCCCTCTTCCTCAATAAAGTCCTTCTTATAGACTTCTAGGCTTCACAGGCTTTGACCTCACTGCACACTCTTCCCCTGGCTTACTCTGTGCAGCCACAACATGTGCTCTTTGCTGCTCCTGAAATGCACTAAGCACACCCCCACCTCAGGGCATTTGCACTGCATTGGCTGGGCCTCAGCCTCGAATATGCTTCTTCTAGACAGCTACATACCTGGCTTCCTCACCTCCTTTATGTATTTGATCAAATGCATACTGAGGCCTTTCACCTTCCCTGGCCACTCTAATTGAAATTACAGCCTTCTCTCCTGACTCCTCTCATTGTCCCTGTTTACCATTTATTGTCTCTCCTCCCTTCCCCCAAGAAAGGAAGCTACAGGAGGTCAGGGATACTGAACTGTGGGATTCCCAGGGCCTAGAGCAGTCCTAGAACATAGTACTTATGACAAGTGTGTATATTTTATGTTTTTATTATGAAAATTTAAATATACACAAAAGTAGAGAGAAGATCATAATGAATATTATGTTCTCATCATACATCTTCAGCTGATATTTTTCATAAACACCCCTACCCACTTCTTCCCACTGGATTATTTGGAAGTAAATCATGAATAAGTTATTTCCATAAATATCAGCATGTTCTTTCTAAAGATAGACTTAAAAGATAACCACAAAACCATGATCACAATTAGAAAAAGTAATGATGCTTTCCAATAGCTAGTGTTTGACATTCTCCAATTGTCTTTTAAATTGTATTGTCTATCTGTTCAAATTGTGATCCAAATTAGGTTCACATATTCCATTTGTTTGGCTTCAACTTGTACATGTGTTGGGGGGACGGTGGGGGAGAAGTAACTGATGGGAACTGGGCAGGTGGTTTGCATGGGACGTCTCTCCCTGTCTCTGCCTACAGTGGAGCTGACCTTGGATCCCGACACTGCCAACCCCCGCCTCATCCTCTCTCTGGACCTTAAGAGCGTACGCCTGGGACAGCGGGCGCAGGACTTGCCGTGCCACCCACGCCGCTTTGACACCAACACGCGAGTCCTGGCGTCCTGCGGCTTCTCCTCTGGGCGGCACCACTGGGAGGTGGAAGTGGGCTCCAAGGACGGCTGGGCCTTCGGCGTGGCGCGAGAAAGCGTGCGCCGCAAGGGCCTCACGCCCTTCACCCCTGAGGAGGGCGTCTGGGCGCTGCAGCTCAACAGCGGGAAGTACTGGGCGGTCACTAGCCCGGAACGGACGCCCCTCAGCTGTGGCCACCTGTCCCGCGTGCGGGTGGCCCTGGATCTGGAGGTGGGGGCCGTGTCCTTCTTCGCCGTGGAGGACATGCGCCATCTCTACACCTTCCGCGTCAACTTCCACGAGCGCGTGTTCCCCCTTTTCTCCGTCTGCTCCACTGGCACCTACTTGCGAATCTGGCCATGAGAGTCTTTGTCTGGCTTCCCAGAGAGGGTGAAATCATTCGAGGGTGAATGCCTCTCCCTCCTGGCTGCCCATGGGAAGCAATGTTGCGCTCCGTTGGAGCCTCCTGGTTACTGTGGGCCTACCCTCCAGACTGGCCCCAGCTCCTGCAGACCACAACATTGGAGAGAACAAGTGATTGTGGAAAAGTCTTCCGTGGTCAGCTGAGCGGGGAAGGAGATGCCTTGGACCTGTGGCGCCATCCTCTGCCTGTTGTTGACATGTGGATTTAGCCTGAGCTGTGAGGACTTGGAGGTGGGTGAAGACAGGAGTCCAGCTATTGACAGAGCTGTTTACCATCACTGGGGCTTACTACCTGGACTTAGCAGGGCCTCTGGTTCTGAAGCAATACCAAGTCTAGTGCTGTCTCAGGCATAAGGGGGAAAATTCAAGCCCAGCCAGCCAGGTTCATGACCACTTCTGCTTCGCCTTCTTGTCAGCTGCCAGCCCTTCCTTTAGACACCTGGATCCAGCGGAGCTGAGGTCATTTACTCAGGGAGGAGTACTGTACTCTCAGGTCAGAGAACAGCCTGGGACAGAACTGGAAGGAGATTCTTGACCTGTACGTGAAAGGAAAGCCCAAGACAATGGCATTTGTCATGGCTACCTTCCAATACCCCTTAATGTTGATACAGATACAGAGTGATACATACATCCTCTGCCACAGTGACAGCCATGTGTTCTCACACATGCCTAAACCCCTTTCAAATGCCAAAATATAGTCTCCCTTGAGTTAGAAGACCAAAGGATATGGAATTTTGAAACATGATACAGCACTTATAATTTTACATATGCAACTAACATCAGCATGGGAATGCACAGAGCACAAACATGCCCCTGACATACCCTTTCTGGAACTTGCCAAATGTGTGCCAACAGCAGAGAACCCTGGTGCCAAGGTCTGCTCAGCCTGTGCCCTGGTGGGGTGTAATTCCCTTGGCTAATTGTTCCCCAGCTTCTTTTTGGGAGGCTCTTGGGAGGCAGTTGTGGGCAATTTCCTGTTTAGTTCTCCCCAGGGAAGGGGGATGAGGAGATGGAAATACAATCTCTGAGCTCATTTCTAGGTGGCTTAGCTCATTCTTGACTCCTCCAGTCTGAGTGCAAGAGCACAAGTAAAAGTAAAGCTTTCTGCTAGACTAAGTGATCAGGTGTGTTTAAGTGTGTGAGAAATGTGTGCACATGTGTTTATATTTCAGATTGAGGGGACAGGTGTGTGTGTGTGTATTTTGGAAAACTTTTATCAGCACGTGCATAGGTTTAGGTATTGCAAACAGACCTAGGTCAATTTGGTAATACCCTATTTTTCATTTGTTGTTAAATATTAGCCACTCCATAATTAGGTAAGGGTCATAGTTTCCCTCCCCCACTGCCTAACTAACTGGCTAGATGAAAGCCGGTCTCAGACCTAATTCTGTCCTGTTTAGACAGATATGTTGGCGTGTGGGGACAGTGACAATTGAATAGCTTGGTCTGCAAGCATCATAGAGTTTCTGTGCTCTGTCCCTGAGATGCTTCAAGCACACTTTGCATACAGGGGTCTTACAGCAGAGGCATGACACTGTTCTAGAAGCAGACCCAGTGGACATAGCACCAGGCAGTCCGAATCCAAAGTCCTATGGGCTGGGGTCAGGATCATATAAATGTCCAGCCTACCGTATCATTGTATCACTCCAGAGGGTGAATCCTATGTTGGGTTCATACGTGGAGAAGGTGTACAACACTGCAGCCAATCCACGTATTTGAATACTACTCATTTCCACAAGTCCCCCACCCCACTTTTTTTTTAACATTCACTTGCTAAATAGATTGCCTAATGTTATCATCAAGCCCTGATATTATCTGGGTTTCTATGGCTTTTGGATTGAGTATCACAGGTCCCTTTAAGGTCACACAACTGTGCTGAAGTATTGCAACACATATTATAGGTTACATAAGGTGGGTGTCTAGTGGAGATGCCTGTAGGGCCAGGTTTGGGGACTGTACGTGCGAGTGACTGTGTGTATATTTTCAGCTTTTGTGTTTGTGAATGTGATTGTGTGTCTATTAAAGTATGTGTGTTTGCAGAGTTAAATAACTACATAGACATCTACATATCTGAAGAAATATAACAAAAGTTACAGTAACCATCACACATTGAGATATTCTCTTTTGGTCAACAAGGCAGTGCAGTGACTTTGGATGTCACAATGCTGGTGTGAGGATATGTGTGATTGTATGTAATTTTCTCTCCCATCATTTGGGATCCTAAGGTTTGTTAGGTGTTCGGGTCTCTGAAAGCAATGCCTGGCTTAACTTGGATCCTTCTGACCCCACCCATTAGTCCCATATGCTTGTGAGTTGCATGAGCCTGTGCCCTGACAACAGACCCTCAAATAGCTTCTCAGCTTACAGACTGGAGGGTACCTGTGGACCTAAGTCACCTGATCTTGCAGGAACCATAAAGCAGGGTGGGCCACTAGATCAAAGTCCATCACTTACAGCAGCCACCATCTTTTTTTTAAATTTAAGTTTTTATTTTAATTCGAGTTAGTTCACATAGTGTTATATTGGTTTCAGGTGTACAGTACAGTAGTTCAACACGACCATACATCACCCTGTATTCATCATGACAGGTTTACTCTTTAATCCCCATCACCTATTTAACCCATCCTCCCATCCCCTTCCCTCTGATAACCATCAATTCACTCTCTATAGTTAAGAGTCTTTTTCTTGATCTCTTAATTTTTCCCTTTGCTCATCTGTTTTGTTTCTTATATTCAACACATGAGTGAAATCATATGGTATTTGTCTTTCTCTGACTTATTTCACTTAGCATTATACTCTCTAGTTCCATCCATGTCCTTGCAAGTGGCAAAATTTCATTACTTTCTATGGCTGAATAAATTTCCATTGTTATATATATATATATATACTATTATACTATAATACTATAGTATATATATAGTATATAGTATATCTATACTATATAGTATAATAATACATAGATAATACAATAATACAATATAGTACAATATAATACAATAATACTATATAGTATATACTATATATATAGTATATAATAATACATTATACTATATATATAGTGTGTATATATATATATATATATATATACCACTTCTTTTTTATTCATCAATGATGGACATTTGGGCTGTTTCCATGTTTTGTACAGCCACCACTTTCTGACCTTGCAGGCCTAGAGTTCCTGTCTCTAACCTGGACTCTCCCCCAACCCTCTATCTCCTCGGCCTTTAGGGACTCTTACAGAACCAGCACCTCCAGAGTTAAGGTGGGCCCCAAAGGTTGCCTTTTCCTAACTTGCCTAAAGGTCCCGCAGGGGCTAGGGCCCCCCCCAAACCCTGATCCAGTCCTATTCCCACCACCACCTCCTCAAACCGTGACCTTCTGATTTCTCCAACACACTCCTCAGCCTCTCACTCACTGCACACAGATAGCCCACCTTACCAGCCAGGACCTGGATTCCTTCCGAACAGGCCTACTGAAACCCTTACCCTAACCTCGGACTCTCATTCTCAAACACGATAAGCCTTGGCCCTCTCTATCCAACAGGACTTTGCACCAGACTCCCAAGCCCGGGGGAGACTGCTGCGCCCACTGGAGGCCCCGCCCCCGTCCACGTCCCGTAGTGCTTTCACCCTATATCTCTTACAGCCAGAGGGAGCACAAGATCTGACCTATCTCCCAGGATTTGCGGCTTGGCCTGCGGTACCGACACTATTTTATGTCGCCGGGGAGGCAGCGAGGGCCGGACTGGATTCTAGGCGGAGAGATTCCGGCCTGCCTCCTACTGCTTAGCCCCTCCCTATGGTTCATTGCGGCTGCGCGGCAGACGGTGACTGTATCAACTATCCTTGCGCAAAAGTAGGCGTCATGGCTGGCTCCATAGCTCAGGGGTTAGAGCACTGGTCTTGTAAACCAGGGGTCGCGAGTTCAAATCTCGCTGGGGCCTACGCACCTGTTTTTCCATCCTTTTCTGAAAGGTGGAAAAGCGGAAGACACTTGAGCAGATACGAATTTCAGCCTTTCTGGGAGGCCAGGCCTTAGGCTGAGCTGCCTGTTCCTTGACTTTTAGATGTCCACCGACTAGAAGCGGCTCTACTTCTTGAAGAGCCAGGCCCACTGCGTCCGTATTGCCATCACAGGCTCCGTTGGCTCCGCGCGCCTTCGCCACATTGGTCCTTCGCTCGTATCCTTCGCGCGCTCTCTGCGAGTTCCTGGCAGGTCTTTCTGCCTCCCTCCTCTCATCCACTCAGGCCAGGGACTCGCCCTAGTCTCTCTATCTTCTTGGTTACGTGCGGACCACCTGTCTGTGCCCACCTCTCAACAACGCACCCTGGGAATCTGTTTTAGTCTGGAGGGCACTAGGTTTAAGCCTTAGTTTTAGCTCGCCATTGGTCTCCACAATCTAGCTTCCATAGTGAGGTGGTAGTCCAGTAGGGCAGGCACATAGGGGTCAATGAATCCCAGGAGCCCGGGACGCGCAGGTGCAGGAAGGTGCCGGTGAGCTCCCTGTCTATCCTGGGCGTGTCTGTCCGGGTCTTGAAAAACTCTTGGCTCTTCGGATGGGAGAGGGCTGGTGCAAAGACCTGTGGCCCCCACCCATCAAGATCCCCACCTACTCCCTTCACCTCTTCTCCAGCATCTACCCAGGTTTCCGCAAAGTGGTTTTCTCCACTCTGTTGCACCGGACCGGGGTTGTTTTCGAAACCCGAATGGCTCTAGAGCGCTGCCAGGAGTCAGCCGCGCTTCCACGTGGGGACCTTTCTGAAGGTCCCGTTTGACCTGGAGAGGACTCCTGCGGGCTGGGATAGCGCGGCGAGGCATGGTCACGCCTCTGCCTGAGCCAAGGCTGCCTAGTCGGGTCGAAGGCCCGTGGATGCCCCAGAACCCCTCTGCCTATCGGGCAGCGCCCCGTTGTTCACTGGGGATTTAGATTCATTTTGTACACTTGACTTCCTTTAACAGCATAAATAAATAAAACTCAGAAAGTCAGCAGTTCTGTGTTTTTATTGTTTTGTTTAAAAGAAAAACTAAATGGTTAAAAGACCAGAAGTAAATGCGACAGGAAGTCTCTAGGGCAGGTGTTACTAATTGTGGACGTTTGTTCGCATTTTCTTTATACAATTCCATAAAGAGAAGCAAATGCTTACAACACTGAGCTGGTAGTAATGGAGGCCAAGGAAACACGGTGGCCTAGGACAGAAGAGAGCCCATCTAACGCTTTGTGCGTGCGAAAGGAGATGAGGACAACGCCAACGCCGAGTGTCGAAGAGGCGGGTTAGCATCGTGTTTTCTAAGAAAAAGGCCGAGAGGAGCGGCTAATGGAGGGGGGTCAATGCTGAGAGATGAGCAAGATTGTGGAGTGGCAGTAGAGAAATTAGCACTTTTTTTTTAACCTTGGAATAATTTAACCACCATTCGTCTCTCACTCCTTTTTTATAACTTCCATTGTGTAGGAAATTTCTCTGCTGGCTGCACAAAAATAAACCTTTGGACCAGCGCTGAGTGGATTTTCGTGAATTTTAATGCAGGGAATCAGAATCACTGTTGTTTTTGTTTGTTTTTGTGTTTTTTGCTTTTGTTTTTGTTTTTACTACTGAATAACCCAGTGCGATTAAAGCTCTTTTAGGGAAAGCAAGCCTGAGACGAGGGCGGGCAGCGCCCGCACATCCCAGGTCCCTGGTTCGGTGGGAGCGGATGGCTGCTCCAGTGCAATCTCGGGACAAAGCGCGAGGACGAAGATCCGGGCACTCAGCCTTCGTGGCCAGTGTGCTTGCGCGCTCTAGTGCGAGCCTCCCGGGCTGCGCACCCACAACCGCAGCCAGTCACACCAAGGGAGCGGTGTTTCTAGTCATCTTGTTTCTGCATACACTTCCTACATTTTGTGAAGCTTTTACAAATAAGTGTGTGTTGCTTTTCATATTTTCATAAAACAAAAAAAGAAAAGCTCTCGCCCTTTTACCAGGCGCCACACCAGAAGGGACTACCTCGACTTCATTTCTCTGTCGCGGCTCAGGACTCAGTCCGTCCCGCTCGCGT